GGGGTCATATTTTATTATTTCATATCTGTTTGGTATGTTTACAGCATATGGTACATATATGAGGTTTATGTCTTCTCAGGTATGGTTCATACATGTCCAATTTCCTGTGTGGTGTTGTATGAGCTGTATACTATAGCACTGAATTTTGCAAACCAGACATTTATTTGAAGATTTTGACTAGGATGAAAATGTCTTTGGATTTGTCTTTGTCACTGCACAGAGATTTTGTAAATTCCATATTTCCATTTTGCTACTTCTTGTCCATTTTATTAGTATCTTTTAGCAGATTTCAAAGCAAAGGCTGAAGTGCAAGTTAGGAGATGGAGATACCTGCTTTCTAAGGGACCACTGCAATGAGATTGTTACCATAGTTTTCCAGCCTTTTCAGGTACAAGAGAAAATCCAGCCAGGCTTTAACGTTATTTTCCTTTGTAGGTTCCAGGCAGTATTGTGACTGTTATAAATATATTCCCCACATTTACATGGGATTTTTATCTTCTAGCAATAGCGTGTTGCCTCTGAACTTTTTAAATGTATGGTGCCTGCCAATTATCTGGTATTGTAGCACGGCAAAGCCTGTTGCCATGGAGCTTTGTGGACTTGCTTCACCAGTCAGCATACTTGTAGTTAGAGAACTGGTTAAATGATCTCTTTGTAGTGGTTTCTTCAGGGTGAAGGAAAACTGGGAAGAAAGGAGGAGAAAATGGATGGGGGGGCTCTTTAAGAAAGGTACATCCTTCTTGCAGCCTACATCCATCATATGCTTCTGTTGTGTCAAGTTGCCATTTTCTTGAAGAAACCTTACCTGTATCAGGCAATTGGTATTTGACCTCGAGCTCACAACAATGTGTGTAGCTAATTTTCTTTGTTTTAATACTGTTCCCCATGTTTCTTGTTTTGCTTTGCTGTGGATTACTGCCATTTTAGCACAGTGAGGAGCATGGCAGAGGATGATGTATCACATTGCTGTGTGAGGATTTTTTGTTGTGAAAGATACATAAACAACCAGGAAAGCTTCCAGTGTCTGCTTGTTACTCAGTTGTATGAATCAGCAGGATGCTGCTCCAAATCAATCTTAGCTACTAGACAGCTATTTAATAATTATTCAGAAAGGTCTGTTTCTCATTGAAATTTTCAAGCCAACTTTCTCCCTTTTTCACATAAACTGACAAGTTTGATGTAGCAGATCTCTAACTGTAGCTGGTGGTTGGTTTTCAGTGTTTGCTTCTGAATGCTGGATCCTACTGGTGCCTTACTGGAAGTCCAAGAATATTGACTTAACCATTCTGTGCATTTGTTTTTCTTAATCATATGATGCTGTTTGGTTCCTGTAGCCAGTTGTGGACTTTTGTGTACTGGATTCTATGCAGAAGTACTCACATTTGCTCATTTTTCTTCAGAATGTACATACTGCTATGGTACTTCTGTGTGTTTGAAATTATTCCCATCCTACGTGATGTACTGTTTTGCATGCCATAAGTGACATCTGTGTGAGCAAAATTGTACCACTGTGTAGTTATATTATCATTATGATTCCTGTTATCAGATACAGGGTTTATTTATAGTTTAACTTTCCATTCACATATTGAAAATTTGACTTGTATAAGCCTTTGGTACCTTGTCCCCTGAACCTGTAAAGTCTTCAGCTCAGATGAGGTTGGATTTGGTGGATTTCTTTGTGACTGCAGTTGCTTCAGGTTGATCCCCCCAAATCTGAAATTACTGATTCAGTCATAGCTATGGTGCAGGAAAAAGTACAACAATTCAATTTGAGTTGCCTGTCCTGGTTCCCTGACTCTGGATTTAGGAAACCTTTTGAGATACCACAAACTTCATGGCCTCATTGCTGTTAGAAGTTTGATTGTTGCTTATTGCTGTTTGTCTCTTGTCTTGCACTGGGATATATCACATCATCAACAGAGAGTGCAAAATAATGCTTTCATAAACAGTACTGGGTTGTGTGTCACCATGCTTATTATCTCTGAGTTCCTGGAGATGTGGATCTCACTCAGGTACCACAGGATATTTATGTAAACAAGGTGTAGGTTAAATGTATCAGATATCACATGCCTTGTGCTACTGTGCAGATGTGCTTCTTTCTGAAGAATATTGGCTTATGGAGCAGCAGCTGTTTATACAGATGTTATTCTAAAGGGATCTCCTGCTGGTACATACTGTGTACAAACAGTTTTAGATGCTCTTTAATCTATTTCTCTGATAGCCAGGCTCTTGAATAAGGGACGACTCTCCTTTCCCCTGCATAGCATTTTCCTGGGGAGACTTGATAGCAGAGAGACTAGAATCAACAGGCAAATGGCAACACCTGAATAAAGAACCTTCTTGATAATCTTGGAGGAAGTTGAGAACAAAAATTGGGCAACAGCGATACTAAATATATATTATGGATATCTAATCCCTCTTTATGTTTTGTGATAATACTTAGGTTCTGCAGTATTCCCATACCTCCTGGTTTATCTTTATCAGCTAGCTGGGTGTAGAGCCTAATGTGTATGCCACTTCCAAGGATCCTAGGAATCATTTGTTATGGTTTGCTACATAAATCTTAATGACTTTGCTGCTGGCAGGTTGTGACACTTGGTGCAAATCTAGGCTATGCTAAGTGCAAGCAAATTTTAAACCCTTTGGTGTTAAAGTTACTTGTTTCTGCTACTAGCTATAAACAGTTCTGGCTATTGAGACTCTTCACTATCTGCAACAACTCTATTGATGTGCAGAGATGCATGTTAGTCATCCAGTTGCTGTGTAGTATACTTGCAGAAGACATCTGACAAAAGAGCTTTTGTCTGAAAATCATCTTGGGCTATGAAATTAGCTCTTGCTCTCTAACAGTCTGCACGCTAGTGATGGTTGCAGCTGTTGGGTTTGCCTTGCAGTGCAGTTATGACTGAGGTTCTTTGGACCTGGAACTTCGTGACTCCTGTAGCTGTGGATTAGGGCTCCCTTGTATGATAAACCCTTTGTCAGCCTGTTTCTCACTCTCTTCACTGAGATGTTTGAGTGTAAGCATTTTCTTTCTCACACTCCAGCTGCTTCTTTACCCTCTTCTGCAGTCAAGCTATAATCCTGTGGTTTTGATATTGCAGGCTGTTGCCATGGAAATAATGGTGATTTCACAATTTCAGTGCTGTAAGCACTGCAGGAGGCAATGGAAAAGGTGGTTGGCAAAAGATATAGTGAGGACGTGGGGGACGGTTCAGAAGAGTTGTTTCTGAACCTGTTTTTTGGGGGGGTTCTGCCTCCTCTCTGTTATTGTGGTGTTCTTTTCTCTCCTTTTTTTTTTTTTTTTTGTAAATGTGATTTCATTAAAGATTGATGCCTAACAGTTTCACATGTTCTTACATTTTTTTGCAAGGGTTATTCCAAAGTGATGCTAAATGATCCTTTCCTTGTCCTCAGAATAAAAATGCAGTGCTTTCTTTGCTGCTTACAGTAATGCATTTTTGCACAAAAGGGCAAAGGTTGACATCTAAGCACATTCTGTTTAAGTCTTCTCTTTAGCCTGAAGAAATCCCTTTCAGGAAAACGTTTTCTTGATAAATAGTAAAACAAGCTGAGAACATCATGACAGGCATACACATTTAAAGCTGTCTGTGTGACTGATAATATTAAAACCTAATATATTCGTTATTTAATTTTTAGTGTGCTCTGCATATGAACAAGTGTGATGCTGAAGATCCACTTATGCAGCATCTGTTCTTAGCATTCTGTTGTGATTCCACATCTATACTGAAATCTTTTCTCTAAATATGGACACATAAAGGTAGAATGAAACTTACTGGAGGAAATCAACTTTGTTATAAAATGAATTGAATTGGCAGCTTAACAAGCTGAAGGCAAGTGGCATTCAGAAGAATTAGAATTTTTTATACTATATGTTTGAAAGCACAAAACAGCAGCCTTTTATCCCCAGCTTTTTCAAGCAACATTCCACTGATTATTGTAGTCGGAGAATAGATATTATCTGTAACTTTTAAATTAAGATCTTTGAATGAATTTTCAGTCTTCAGTAGGATGTAATCAGTAACGATGGTGACAGTAAACTTTTAAGATCTTTTTTTAATTAAAGATAGAGAAACAATTGTTTCAGCCTATCAGATACATTAAAATGATCTAGGAATTGCTTTTAAAAATATTTTGATCTTTTTCTGCTTGATATTCCATAAGTGGAGATAGAATAGCTGTTATATATGAAAGGCAAACAATAAGGAATGTTCAACATGACTCTGTCTTTGTGGGGCAGGTTTATTAGGAAGCCAGGTTTGTAAGGATGGATTAAATCCCTTGACACTTTACTTGTATGAATGGAAATAATCTTATCTGAATTTCACAAAAACTCTGCAAGAAACTTCTGCATTTTAAAATGACAAAATGAGCCAGAACTGTGTTTGCAGGACCTGGCCTGAAAAGATGCTAAATATCTCATGCTCTCAGATCTAATTGAGAATGTGGGCATTTGATAGTACTGTTACATAAATCAAACTTCTAAAATAAATCAAAAGAGAGAACATTTTCTATCTGAACTGTATTTATTACTGAACCTGATTTTTGGCATGTAATGTTTCATGGTGCCAAGTAAGTTTTAAGTGTTGTATGAAGGTGCATTTCTGTGGAACTGTATTGGATTATATATACTTTATGCTTGGCCCAAACTTGCTACATAACTGAAATACTTTTTTTTTTTTTTTTTTTAATGCATCACATTGGTTATAGAATTTTGTCTTTGCTGATAGAATACAGGTAGGATCTACCTTCTGTCTTAAGACTGTCTGTAAGAAAGTCAGTAAGATGATGAATATATTGATAAGTATTTTTGACTCCTGCCTGGAAAAGTAGTTTAAAACTCTTGATAAAAAGCCGTTTAGCTACAGGTTGTAGTATCTGATTGATATATGAACTTCTCCATGATAAATGAATTTGAAGAGCTGGACAGCAGGCAGATGTTTCAGTGCCTCATTTCAGTGACTCTGTTCCTGTTACAGGTGCATGTAACAGCATTGCAGTGATGAGTGGAATTTTAAAGAGGAAGTTTGAAGAAGTTGATGGCACCTCACCTTGTTCCTGTGTGTGGGAATCAGATGATGACATTTCTAGCAGTGAAAGTGTTGACAGTGGAAGAAATGTCCATCCATCCACTTCTAATCATTTTTCTCGTAAGTACTAAAGCTGTGTGTAAGGCACGATACTCCTTTTTATACAAGCTAAGAAAGGTTTATCTTACTTGGAAGAAATACAGTGTAGTCTATCTTCTTTTACTTTGAAGCATTTTTTTGTTTTATTACATTTAAATGTTGACACTGTGAGGAAGTGCTTCCTTTTGAAAAATAACTGTTTCTTCTGGTAGGTGTTTATGTAAAAAAATTTCAGAGGAAACTTCACTTTTATACTATAACGTTTACATCTAGATAGTGTGAAATGTTTTAAATATACAGGAGAAAATCTTCCATTTTGTGTGATGATTTGGGGGAAGAGGGAAATTGGCAGTAACAAAGCTTGAAGGCTAGTGCTTCTGCTTGACCCTGTCTTTTCAGAGTTGAAGTGTACATGATCTGTGACAGAATAACTGATACCTTTGATCATCTTGCCACCTGAGCCAATGCAACCACACAGCCCTCAGTCTTTTTCTTCCAATCAATACAGGAGTAAACAGAGGAAGAAATTTGTAATTCTTCCTGAGAAGATGTTAGATTCATATTTGATGTCTCCATGAGACACTTGAAGAACAGAAATCCTTTTCTTGTTCCCACTCAACCAGCTGAACATGAATAGTTAATCTAGAACATATTTTTCTTTTAACTTCTTGGGTTGAGTTTATCAGTTACTAAACTTGTATAATTTGTGAAATCTACATAAAGCCTCATATCTGCAGTAAACCATGTGTGTAAATTAGTAGCAGTAAGTCATCTGGACTTTTTAACAATTCATATGTAGCAGCTAGATTTTTTTTCTAATTGTATGCCTAATAAAGCTAGGCTAGAGCTATTTAAGAATTACAGCTGGCAATAGGGTTAGTGAAGTTCCTTATCTGAAAATGAAAAAAGCTCCTCATACCGCCTTCTCTTTGAGTGGACTTTTTAAAAGCACAGTGAGGACATGGACATTCAGCTGAGGGTGGTGGTGAGGGGTTGTACTCTACCTTGAGGGGCACCACATGAGTCTGTCCTGAAACCTGTCCTGCTTTTTTGATCCATCTTTATCGACTGCCTGAAGAAGGTGAGAGTGACTTGCATCAAGTTTGCAGAGAACTATATTGAGGGGAACAGTTGATGCCCTTAAGGTAAAGCCCCCATTCAGAGAGATTTAGGCAGGCTGAAGGAATGGGCTGACAGAAGACACATAAATTTCATCACAGACAAATGCAGAGCTGTGTACCTGGGAAGGAAGATCCCCTTGCAGTGAGCTGGGACCTGAAAGGCTGGGCAGTAGCTCTGCAGAAAAGGCCCAGGGCTCCTGGCAGACAGACAGCACGCTGAAGTGTGCCCTGGCAGGCAGGTGCAAGCCAGCAGTGTGCCCTGGCAGCCACGAAGGGCAGCAGCCTCCTGGGCTGCATGAACAGAGGCACAGCTAGGAGAGTGAGGGAGGTGACTATGCCCCTTGGCTCACCGCTCATGAGACTGTACCTAGAATATTGTGTCCAGGTTTGCCCCCCCCAAGAAAGACATTGATAAAGTTGAGCAAGTTCAGCGGAGGGTCACGAAGGTCATGAGGGGCCGGGAACATTCACCCTGTGAGGAGAGGCTGAGGGACCTGGACTTCTTCAGCCTGGAGAAAGGAAGGTTGTGGGGGACCTAGTAAAAACAGTGCAGGACCTGTGAGGAGGTTACTCAGAATGTAGTCAGGCTCTTCCCAGTGGTGTGTGATGGGATGGTGAGAGACAATGGATGTAGATTGAAACAAGATTATGTTCTGACTGAATGTAAGGAGAAACTTTTCACCATGAGGACAGCCAGGCACTGGAACAGGTTGCCCATAGAGGCTGTGTAGTCTCTGTCCTTGCAGATTCTCAAGACATGACTGGCTAAAGCTGTAAGCAACCTGGACTGATATCTTAGTTGACCTTGCTTGGAGTAGGAGGTTGGACTACAGACCTGCTGAAGTCCTTTCTAACCTGAGTTATTTTGTGGTTTTCTGGTATGTGTGAATTAGAGGTTCAGAGGGAGATGAAGTAGCACTGCTTTTTCTTGTGACAGAACCAAGCTCACTGGGAAGCAGAGTGGTATCAGCAAGCACGTGTACAGAAGCAGTTTGTACAGTGCTGTGAAACCTCGACTACACTGCTTTGGGGCCTGTTCTGATAAGTCTGTAGGGAACTGTGTTTCGCTTCATGAGTTTACTAGTTCAAGTCTTTGCTAGGGGTTGTTTGCCACTTCCCACTGTCAAATGTGTGTGTACATCCTGTGTTCTGATTTGATACTTTTGAGTTTTGCTGCCTCATCTGAGTGCAGCCAGCAGCCAGTACTGAGTGGTTTTGAAAAGCCCGGGTTTTCTATAGGCTTCTTGCAGAATTTAGAGTGCTAGTGGGAAGAACAAAGACTGGGATGACTTTAGACACAGGTAGATGTGTGATGTCCCACTTTCTCCTCCTCCTCAACTCATTACACTGCTTTGATTGTGTTTGATGCTCTTCTTACTGTTGGCTCTTGGAACTTGAACTCTCCAAATTTAGTGATGTGATTTTCAGCGTGGAATTTTTTCCATTTGGCAGTCTGCCAGTGTTTTTGTCTACTGAATAGGTTTCAGGGCATGATGCAGATACATTTATTTTTCTTTTCTTTTTTTTCAATTTTTATGTGGGTTTTTTTGTTGTTTTTTTTCCCCCTTTATTTTCGTTGTTTCATTCTTGACAGTGCCACAACCTATTTGCTCATGTTTCTCTAGGCAATGACAGTACTTTTCTAATGCAGCTGTCTAGGTAAGTACTTTGTAAGATTTTTGTGGAAAAACCCCACCCGAATGTCCCTGACTGCTGCAATAGTAGACTTTTATAAATCAAAAAGTAAATAATCAGTTCGTGTTTTCATAAAGCAGAAATACACAACAAAGTTTGAATTTAAGAAGCTTGCCTCTCTATGGTGGAATCTTGTACAATTTAGCAGCATCAGAATAGAAGCCACATATACTTCTTTTTACAGTGGTGTATATAGGGTGGTGAAGAATCAGACCTGTAGCCCAAGAAAATGTAATATGTCATGTAAATTAGCTGAGGAACTTCTGGCCATGTTCCTGTCTGTTTGGCAATTCCTATAAGACAGTTTTATTTCCCTAATTTTACTCGCATCCGTTGGTTTTTGGAAGTATTATATTTTTCTGGGGAGAATGGGTTTATCAGTCATTACTGCAACAGATTACTACTTACTAACATTTTTTCAGAGTATCTAAAATTGCATATTTTGTATCAGAACTTGTTATTTTCAGTCAGATTCTGGTAGTAGTGGTTTTCAGATTCCTGTTGTTTTGTTAATCATCAGCTTCTACAAAACCCAGATGACACATTAGCAGTCCAAAATCTCTAGGTGTAAAATGGAAATCAACAAGAATATTTGCAAATAAAGATTATTTGTATGAGAAAGTTGCAGGATTGGGTTTCATAATGTTTGAATACAGGGCAAAACAAGAAAGCATGCCCCTCTGTTGCAGACACCTCTGTCCTCGGTAGCATATGTTATACAAGTAACAGCAGGCTTTTGGAATATGTAAGACATGTTTGCTCTAGCCTCATCCGAGATCAGTGTAAAATTCGTTCCTCCTCAGCCCACTCTATGCAGTAATGTGTTTATTCTGTACACATGTTCCCTGAAGTCTGGGTTCTTACTGTGTGCCCAAAGCCACTCTGCTGTTCAGAAAAATCTGAAAAGATTAGCAGAAATTATTCTCACTCTTCTTTATCAATACATGTTCAGATTCATTGCTTTTCCAAGGGACTGCTGAGGCACACAACAGCAATCTAAAAAATCCTCTATTATGCCCTGAGCTTCAGTAATCCCTGTCAGTACACAGTAATTCTTTGTGATAACAGTATTTTATAAGCTGCATGTAGATTAAGACTGTTGTTAATAATTAATATGTAACATATTACATTAATCTTTATATTCCTTTTCCTGTGGTAGCATGTTTTATTCAAAAATAAGTGTTAGCCATATCCAAATCAGTTAAATTATTACAATAGCATTATATTGTTTTTTTATTTCCTCAATGGCATCCATGGAAACAAATGTGCCTTTTTCAATATAGATACAGGTCTATGTGTGTGTTTACGTGTGTGCATATATTTATAGCTTGAACAAAGCATAACTATATATGTAATTTGTAAAAGCATATATATGTGTTAGTGTACATATATATGTACAAGTGCAATAAATGTGGTAATGGCATACAGAAATGTTGAGTGTTATTTTAAATGTAAAGCTTGTGACAGAATACCACAGAACTGAAGGGTGAGAAGCTACGGGGTTTTATACGTACTGTTGACTAGGGTCCCAATCATGGTAACTGAAGAAATATATCAGTTTCTCTCCTGCTAAGCTTCAGAAATTTGAGTGAATCAGGCACTCATTTTCTAGTAAGAAGCCTGCACAATATGTGCAGGAAACAAATTAATTCATGCCATTCTTGTTAAGAGTTGTGATTTATGGTTGCTTCTTTTTTCCTTGAGGAAAGTTTACTATTTCACTCATGGATTGTTCGCTAGTCATTTTACTGGAATCTGGATTTCACTTTGTTTTAAATCAGAACTCTTTTCTAAACTCGTGCTTAGGGAAGTTGACAGATGAATTTGTGCTGGCTCAAACTTTATCTCAGGTGCAACTGGAAAGTTCCCTTTAATTTATGTCAGTTAACATTCTGTGGATTACTGAAGCACGTTATAGACCAACTATGATCAGCCCTGCCATTAAATATAATTCTTAAGCGGGGGTAGTGGTGGTGTGACAGTGAAGTTGTTTAACAGGTCTAGAAACTGCTAAGTGCAATCATGATAAAACAGAGTTTTATATTTAAGATCATTCTAGGAAAACGTAGGGAACAACAGTACACGTTTGATCTCTTGTCAAAATATGTGCACCTAGTTATTTGAAAAAATAAATTAAAGCTACGGAGTAAAAATATGTTTTAAGGACACTAGCTGAAAACAAAAAAAAAGTCCCCTAAATTTCCT